AAAATCGTTGGCCGAGAAATGTGGACAGGAATGTCGACTTCACAAGAAACGCCGTCGACAAAAATTGCACTGATGAAACTTCACCAATTTTTAATATGTTGTAGCTCTTATCCGTGGTTACAATTCCCAATTTGAATCGTACAAAAAGGTGAAGTAACTCTTGAGTGATGAATTTTGGCGCACTAGGGGGTATGCTGCCATAAAACTAAACTCACTCACAATTGTTCTGATAAGTTCCTCACAAGAAAGTTAGAGTAGTTAGAAATCAGGTAGGAGGGGGGTGAAGAGGAGGACGAGAGGGAAGGTCCCCAATGAGTCCCCAACCAGGGAAACCCCATAAGCACATCAAATCCCCTCCCGCTTTTACTTTTGTCACTTTCCCAACCCATGCCATCCACCTTACCCAACTTGGCCACACTTGCCAACCTGGTTTGGTTTCTCCCAACCACTTGGCAGCATCTACAGTGATGGGGACGAATTTCCCAACCCCCAAAAGTCTATACCCTTTATGGAGTCAACCCAACAACTTCCCATAGTTACCACAACCAAATATCAAAAGCTTACGAACTTCAAATGTTCGTAACTTTCTTGTTCGTGCTCCCATTGAAGCGATACTTGGCTCGACCGAAAGCTCTTGAGCAGAGGAGTCACATCAGATATTTATTCAAGCCAAATAAAATTCACACACACTCAGAAAAACCAAACCACATCAAACACAAATTCTTGCACATGCTCACACCACGCATGCAACGCACGGACATATGATGGGAGACATACAGACGTGAATGCATATGATTGCATCACACAACAGATATGCTTCGAGTGTTCGGGTGCATGTGCATGGCGCTCGTGCCTAAGCATCTTCGGCACAACAAGCTCCGTGCCAAGGCGATATGGGCGGTGCACTTGGGCATGGCTCAAAACAGCAAGGGTTGGCTTTTTTGGGACCCATTCACCAAGAACTTCTTGGTGAGCAGGGACTGCAAGTTCATGGAGAATCTCATGTACAAGGATTGGAAGGCGGAGAATGAGGCAAAGATAGGTGTGCGGTTTGGGGAGGTGAAGAGTTCCGAATTGGAGCGTGTGGAGCTGCCTTTGGAGCTGAGCAGCGGCAGCACTACCACAAGGCAATCTTCCCTTGCGAATGGGGAAGGGGAGGCCAAGGATGTAGAGGAAGAAGAGGAGGAAGTGCAGCAAGTGAGCGAGCGTGCACCGGCACTTCCTTCACGCGCTACGAGTGCTCCACGGACCCAAGCCACACCGGAGCAACGCCAAGGCCTTCAAGTCCCTGCAGCTGAGGAGGAAGGAAGGGGCAAGAGGAGAATCCAAGCCCCTAATAGGCTGACCTATGATGCACCAAGAAAGTAAGGCAAGACAGCCTTGGCCGGAGCGGCAATGATGGTTGGAGACGACGAGGAGAGTGACTACGAGGAGTATTCGTTCGTGTTCTTCTCTCCGGTGAGGATGCCGGGAGAACCAGCAACTCTCAAGGAGGCCTTGGAGAGTAGTGATGCTGAGGAGTGGAAGAAGGCAATGGAGTGTGAGTTGAAGAGCATTGAGGAGAACGACACATTTGAATTGGTGGAGCTACCGGAGGGGCGTAAGGCTATTACGTCCCGGTGGCTTTTCAAGATCAAGTCTGACGCCGACGGCATGATCGAGCGCTACAAGTCTAGGCTTGTGGCCAAAGGGTACCAGTAGAAGGAGAAGGTGGACTTCAATGAGCTGTTTGCTCCTGTGGTGAAGCCGACAATGCTGCGGACCCTACTCGCGGGAGCCGCGATCAAAAGATGGGTGGTGAAGCAGATGGATATTACAACGGCATTCCTTAACGGCATCCTTGAGGAGGAGATATTTATGGCGCAGCCAGAGGGGTTTGATGATGGTAGCGGCAAAGTGTGGAAGCTGAAGAAGGCCCTCTATGGGTTGAAGCAGGCCCCTAGGCAATGGTACATGAAGCTGCGTGAAGTGTTGGAGGAGATCGGCCTCACACCCTCAACTGCCAACCACTCCTTGTTCATTCTTGGCGAGGGGGAGCAGAGGAGCTTCATGGTCGTGTACGTGGATGACATCCTCATCTTCTCACCCTTTTCTGACCTTGTGAAGGAGATGATGCTGAAGCTTCAGGATAAATTCAAGTGCAACGCCCTTGGTGATGTGAACTTCTACCTCGGGCTTCACATCGAACGCGATGTGGAGAAGCGGTGCATGCGGGTGCACCAACGCAAGTGCCTGGAGGCATTGGCTGCCAACTTTGGGCTGAGTGAAGGCCATGTAGCTACTCCCCTTCCGTTTGGGTTCAAGTGTGTGAAGGGACCAGAGGAGGAGAGCATTGGTGAAGAGGAGAGGCGTCGTTTTCACTCTCTGGTGGGCAGCCTCATGTATGCGGCGGTAAACACTCGACGGACGTTGCCTTCGCTAGCGGGTAGCTGGCTAGGGTTGTGCAATGCCCTAATGAGGAGCAGGTAGCAGCTAGAATGAGGGTGGCCAAGCACCTTGGCCAAACACCGACCGTTGGGCTGCAATACTCGACGGCGGCGCAAAGGCGCCAAAAGGGCGCGGATGGTGTTGAACCCGGGCGTTTGTTCCTCACTGCCTACTCGGATGCTTCATATGTATCGAAACCAGAGGACATGACAAGTGTTGGAGGGTTCATTTTCTGTGTTTGTGGAGGCCCAACTACTTGGGAGAGCAAGAAGCAGGTGGACCAAGCTTTGAGCTCAGTGGAGTCCGAGTACATGGCACTCTTCCGTGCGGTACGGGAGATTGTATGGCAAGCGGCGTTTGTTGGCTGAATTGGGGGAGGAGCAGCAAGGACCTACCTCTCTCTATTGTGATAGCCAAGGTGCCATTGCTCTTGCTAAGAATCCTGTGTTGCATGGCCTTACGAAGCACATGAGGGTTAAGTGGCATTGGACGAGGAGCATGGTGGCTGCGGGTGAAGTTGAGTTGCACTACGTGAAGACGACGGGATAGCCGGCAGACATGATGACCAAGAGGCTGGTGGAGCAGCAGCATTGGAAGTGTTGCAATCTGGCTAGAATGGCCCTGAACTAAGAGGAGCAGATCCTAAGGCCAACAATCCTAGGGGGAGTTTGTTGGTGCAACCTACGGTTTGCACTCGGCTTGTTGTCTGTGTGCGTGCATGTGTGTGTGCATGGAATGGAATGAGGGCATGCTATAATATATATATTTCATGCTTATAATAGTGTGTGCATGAAAATTCATGATGTCGAGTGTGTGTGTGTCGAGTCAATAGCGAGTTATCGCTAGTCGCGTGTCACACGGTCATTTGTGTCTCACACACGGTTTCTATTTTGCCGTGTGTCTCGTGCGCGGTTTCTATTTTGTCGTGTGTTGAACGTCGCCGTGTCGCAGGTGTGTGCAGCAGGCCTATCAAGAACTCAAAGATGAGTCTGTGATGAAGAACCCGAGCCTTGGTGTCAAGCCTCAAGTGATTTCGAAGCTTGCCAAAAGGATACACTTCAGGATGTTGAAGATAGTTACATTACAATGTGTAGTGTAACATTTATGTTGATGTAGACCCTTGTGGAGGGTAGTTTCGAGACCCTTCTTGGTAGGGGATAGTGTAACACTATTCCACATCATTGTATCTCGGCTCTTGGGGTTTGTAGGAGCTGGGAGTCATTCCCAACTCGTAACTCTTCCTAATCTTGTGTTCTGATACTAAAGTGGCTGCCATAGTGCCGTTCATTCAATCCAATGTTGTGTCGTCAATACGTGGTGAAATCGTGCGATCTAAACTGCCTGTTGTAGGCGACACTAAGACGCTCCCGATCCAATTTCAATCGGGTCATTTGACCAGAACGCTATGAACGTTGAAAGCCGTTGTGTAGAAATCCGACTGTGCACTCTATCTTTCGTTTTAGGCACATTGGAGCTTACTGTGACTATAACAGCGGGCAGGGCAAGGCGCGTAGCAGAGCAGCGTGCGGGCAGGGCAGGGCGCGCAGCAGCGCTGCGTGCGGGCAGGGCAGGGTGCGAGGCGGCGCGGCGCGCAGGCAGGGCAGGGCGCTAGGCGGCGGGCGGCGCGCAGGCAGGGCAAGGCGCGCTGTGGCGGGCGGCGCACGCACAGGGCAGGGCAAGCAGCTGCGGCAGCACGCGGGCAAAGCAGGGCGCACGACGGCGGGCAGCGCGCGGGCAGGGCAACCCGGCGGCGCGGCGCGTGGACAGGGCAGGGCGCTCTGCGGTAAGCGGCGGCGCAGCGCGCGGGCAGAGCAGGGCGCGCGGGTCAAACAGGGCGCGCTGCAGCGAGCGGCGTGCGGGCAAAGCAGAGCGCGCTGCGGCGGGCAGTGCGCGGGCAGGGCAGGGCGTGCGCAGGCAGCGCGACGCAGGGCAGGGCAGGGCAGGGTGGTGCGATCACGGTGGCACGACGGGTGAGGTAGCACTACTCGGTGGGCCATAAGAAAACGGTCCTAGGTTAGGACCTGCTCTGAAACCATGTCAGAAGTACGAACGAGGAATCAATTGACTAACAGCAGAATGGGTACAAGTGCTAACCCTAATTGGGTTGTACCCCATATGGGCTACCCCACTATAGCCTACACAATAAGCAGCATATAAGTTTGACAGGAGTCGCAGGAGAGGCGGAAGTTGCGCGAGCAGGTAGAGTAGCGTGAGCAGCTAGAGTAGCGCGATGGCAGAAAGAAGAGAGAAAATTTTAGAAATCCAAACTAGAGATTGGTAAGAAATGACATGTACTTTGACAAACACCGTCAATCGTAGTGCAGTCGTGTGTCGAGTCTTGATGATGAATTTTAATTATGTTTATCGAGTCTTGTAAAACATGTACAGTTTATCATACTGCATGAAAATGATGCATTTTTTCCAATGCTTTTATTTCACTTAAAACACGAAGTTGCTCTGCAACCCTAACACGATCTCGTCGCCTTTTTTTCCCCCTTATTTTCAACTCGCGAACCCCCTTATCCATTCCCCATGGCCTCCCCACCACGTCGCGCGCCTCGTCGCCTAGTCGCATGCCACTTCCCCTCGTCGCGCGCGCCCTGCTCTGCCTCGTCGTGCGCCTTGCCCTCCCGTCGTGCATCCTACACTCCCGTCGCGCGCAAGTGCCATGCCTCTGCCGCCGCGCACGCGTTCTGTCTGCCGACGTCGCACGCATGCACGCGCGCCTTGTTCACGCACGACCTGCCGGCCGCCATCACTCTCCCCACCACCCATTTTCTCCTTCCACGGCCGCCCTCCCTTCCCCCCCTTTCGCCGGTGTTCTCCCCTCCCTTTGTGGTGCGCTGAACCCCTCCTCCCCCCCCCCCCCCCCCTTCTCCTGCCTCTTTCGCACCACCTCCTCCCTCTCTGCTCATCACATCCGCCTCTTACCCTCCTTCCCCTCTCTTCTCTCCTCCCTATCCTTCGTGCTCCTCCTCCCTTCCTCCACCTCCTTCCTCTCCGCCTCTCCTGCAACTAGCTGATGTCGTTGCCTGTCACTTGGTGATCGTGCTCCTATCTCCTCACATTCCACTCCTTCACCCTCCTCCTCCTCTTACCTCTCTCCCTCCACTTCCCCTCACCTTCTCACCTCTTCCTCCACCTCTCTTCTCTCCCTATCTGCTATAGCTGGTATCCGACTGTGCATTGTCGACAACCTTTCCTCCTCCTCTCATTTCTCCCCTCAGCGGCGCAGTATCAGACTACTCCATTGTTGTCCCTCCTCCTCTTGTTTCTCCCCACAGAGGCGCAGCAGAAGAGTACTCCACCGTTGTCCCTCCTCCTCTTGTTTCTCCCCTCAGCGGCGCAGCAGCATACTACAACACCGTTGTCCCTCCTCCTCTTGTTTCTCCCCTCAGCGGCGCACCAGCAGACTACTCCACCGTTGTCCCTCCTCCTCTTATTTCTCCCCTCAGCGGCGCAGCAGCAGACTACTCCACCATTATCCCTCCTCCTCTTGTTTCTCCCCTCAGCGGCGCACCAGTAGACTTCTCCACCGTTGTCCCTCCTCCTCTTTTTTCTCCCCTCAGCGGCGCATCAGTAGACTACTCCACCGTTATTATTCCTCCTCTTGTTTCTCCCCTCAATTGCTCAGCAGCTGACTACTTCACCCCTATTCCTCGTCATGTGTCTCCCACCAACGGCTCAGCAGCTGACTACCTTGCCCCTATTCCTCCTCTTATGTCTCCCCACATCTGTTTCGTTGATATCCCCTCCCCCTGATGGCGCCTATTCTCGCCCTTACCTCTCCCCCTTAGCACTTCCGCCCTCATCCTCTTTCCACCGTACCGCCTCTCCTACCCTTGCCTTCCCTACTCTCCGCTCCCTTCACTACCCCTTCCTCCCTTTGCACCTCTCCTACTTGCCGCTGGACCTTTCCTCTTCTTCGCCCCTCTGCCTGGATTCCGCTGTCCCATCAGCATCGCCGCTCTTCTGCCACTTTAACCTCTGGTATTGGTTCTCTGGTCTCTGTCTTCAGTGTGACCAGATAGCATCCTTGGTGCTTCTCCTCTTCTGCCATCTCCGGATAGCATCCTTAGTGCTTCTCCTCTTACGGACTTTCGCTTTGACGTTCCACTTTCTCCACCCTTTCAAAGCACTGCTTCTCACTCTCCCAGCCTTGTGGCTGCCGCTCTCTCACTTCCTTGCACCTTGGATTTTGTCCTTGACAGTGCTGCTACTGACTCTGACTTTCGTGATGCTGGTGTCCTTCGCAATTTTTCTCGTCCCCTCACTATTGATGGGGCTGGGGAGACCATGACCATGATCTGTACTGGCACTTCCTCTCCTCCCTGTCCTGCCTCTCCCTCTGGCGCTATTACTGGCCTTTATATTCCCTCTTGCCGTCATAACCTCCTATCCCTCCCTGCCCTCCAACGCCTGGGTGTGCGAGCACTCTTCCTTGCAGGTGAACTATATTGTGATCTTCATTACCACGACCGGCACCTTGCTCATTTCACCATTTCTCTTACTACTCGCCTCTACACCCTTCGTGTTCCCATCCCCTCATCTGTCCATCACACTTCCTCTTCTTCTTCCCCTCCCATCTCCTCTTGCGAGTGTTGCTCTCTCACCCAACCTACCCTTCTTCATCATCGCCTTGGCCACCCCAACTTCCCTCTCCTTCATAGCATGGTCACTTCGAAGCTGCTTCATGATCTCCCTCCCTCTCTTCCACCCCTTCCACCCTCTCCCGCTCCTCCGTGCACCCCTTGTGTTCAAGCCAAGCTCTCTCAATCTCCTCATCCTTCTTCCTCTTGTGCCTCCCCCAAACCCCTTGATCTTGTGCATATGAACTTCTGGGGTCCCTCTCCGATTGCCTCCCGTCAAGGTCATCGTTACTTTCTCCTTCTTGTCGATGACCACTCTCGCTTTGCCACTGCCTATCCCCTTCGTGCCAAATCTGACGCCCCCTCCCTCATCATTCGCTGGGCTGAACAGGCGCGCCTTCACTTTGGCCGTCCTGTCGCATGCTTCCACTCCGATGGTGGTGGCGAGTTCATTAACCGCTCTCTCTTTTCTTACTGCTCCTCTAATGGCATTCGCCAAACCTCCACCCTTTCGCATTCTCCCGAACAGAATGGTGTTGCTGAGCTTCGTATTTGCACTCTCATGAAGATCACCTGCTGTCTTCTTACTCATGCCTCTGCTCCACACTCTCTTTGGAGCTACGCTCTTGTTCATGCCACTCTTCTTTCCAACCTTCGCCCCCATCCCCTTTGCCCTTCCTTTACACCCTTCCAGCTCTGGACTGGCCGCCAGCCCTCTGCCCGCCATCTTCGGGTGTGGGGCTGTGTCGCTCATGTCCTTATCAATCCCACCAATCGAGCACATCAGGGTGGTAAGCTCGCTCCCAAGACGCAGCTCTGTGCGTTCATTGGCATCAACGCTGATTGTCCTGGCTATCTTTTCTATGCTCCCTCCTCTCAGCAGCTCATTCGCAACCAGGATTTTATCTTTGATGAGACTCGACCTCCATTCCTCACCCCCCCTCCCACCCCTCCTCCTCCCTCTCTTCATTCATCTGACTTTGATCTGCTGCCCTCTACTGCACCCTCTCCTTCTCCACTTCCTCCTCTCCCTGCTCCGCCTCCCCTCCTTGCCCCCTCCACTACCCCCTCTGCTGTCATCTCCTCCCTCCTCCTCCCTCTTCCTCTTCCCCTAAACCCATGCCCTCTTATTCACAACATCCTTCTCCTCTCCCTCCCTCTGCTCCTACTCCCCCGCCCTCTCCTTCACCACCTCCTACTACTCTTCCTTCTGCTCCTGCTCCTCCACCTTCTTCGCATCTCACCCGCTCCATGACCCATGCAATGTCCAATTTTCATCACTTTGCTATCTTTACTTGTCTCTCTCCCTCTTGAAACGTCGATCTTCTTGAGGATCGATTTGAAGTGCTATTCTCTGTTCATCCCATTTCACCCCTCATCTGTCTCACGATTGGCGAATTCTCCAATTCTCCCACTCTTCTCTCCGCTGACATAGCCTCTATTCCCACCCCTCATACCTATTCTGAGGCAGTGTCTGGCTTTCATGCAATTGAGTGGATGGCTGCCGTTATTGCCGAGTATGAGGCATTCACCAGAACTCAATCTTATGTTGACTCTGTCTCCCCCCTTGGCTCCACCATTATCAAGGGCAAATGGGTCTTTCGTGTCAAACAGCTGCCTGGAGAGCTACCTGTCTTCAAAGCATGTTACTGCGCCAAAGGTTTCACCCAATGTGAAGGCATTGATTACTTTGCCACTTACTCCCCCACTTCCCGTCTCCCCACTCTTCGCCTCGTTTTTTATCAAGGCGCCCGCTAGCATAGGGAGATTCACTTTATGGATGTCTCCAATGCATTTCTCCAGGGAGAGCTTCATGAACGCATTTTCCTTCAGCGCCCCGCTGGCTTTCCTCGCCCGTTCCCTCCAGGCTCTGTCTTGGAGCTGAGGCGCCCAGTGTATGGTCTTAAGCAGGCCCCGCGCGAGTGGCATGCTAAGCTCGCCTCTACTCTTTACTCTCTTGGCTTCTCTACCTCTTCTTCCAACCCCTGTCTCTTCATTTGCACCTCCCCCCACATACTTTACATTCTTGCCTACGTCGATGACTTGGTGCTCCTCGCTGAAAAATCTGCCGACCTTGCCGCTGTCAAGCAGGCCCTCTAGGCGCCCCTCCTGTGCAAGGATCTTGGCAAGCTTCGTCATTACCTCGGCATGGAGATCCGTCGTAATCGTACTTCCCGCACCATCTCTCTCTCTCTCAATCCTTCTACATCCACTCCATTCTTGAGCACTTTGAAATGTCACATGCCAAGCTTGTTTCCACGCCTCTTCCCACTAACCATCAGCTTACTGCCCATTCCGTTCCCGCTCCCTCCTCAGAACTGCGACCCTATCCTGAGCTTGTTGGGTCACTCATGTATGCTATGATGTGCACACGTCCCGATCTTGCTTACCCCCTCAGTGTCCTCTCTCGTTTTGTTGGCCTTGGTCACCACATTGATGTGGACTAGGCGGCTGCCAGACGACGTTCTCCGCTATCTCCGCGCTACCTCTGATCTTGCACTCACTCTTGGTGGCTCTTCTCCCCCCGTTCTTTCTGGTTACAGTAATTCCTCCTACGCTAATTCTCGCCCTGATCGCCGCTCCTCTCAGGGTTATGGTTTTACACTTGGCAGTGGCCTCATCAGCTGGCGCTCCACTCGTTCATCCTCTGTCTTTCTTTCCACCTGCGAGGCTGAGTTGTACGCAGGCACATTGGCGGCTCAGGAGGCTTACTGGCTCTCGTTTCTCTTTGCTGAGCTTGATCACTCTCAGCCCTCTGTGATGCTCTCCTGTGACAGTGCAAGCATGATTCACCTCACTGAAAATCCTATCTAACACACTCGCACCAAACACGTCGAGGTCCGCTTCTTCTTCGTGTACGAGCTGGTACGGTCTGGCTTCCTCTGCCTTTGCAAGGTGGCGGCTGCTGCCAACCTTGCTGATAGTTTCACCAAGGCTCTCCTTTGTGCACCACACCGTTTCTACATGTGCGCACTTGGGCTCACTCGTCTCGCCATTTCTGGGGGTGTTCCTATTCGCAAGGTGTTTTTTTCTAGAGCTTCACCTAGCCTAGGGGTGAGTTGGAGTAAGCTAGAGCTGGCTCTGGCATTTATTATGGTGTTCGTTTATTATTTCGCCATGCTTAGAGCGAGTTTCACCTTTGGTTCGGTTTGGGTTCATTTCTTTGTTTCTAGCACAAACTAAACACACCCTAATTTCAACTAGGGTTTCCTACATTTATATCTCGACACTCTTGTTAGTGCATCTCTTCAACCTATCTTGCTAAGCCATGGCTATTACTCTCATATTAAAACACATTACCAGAGCCTCCAGCTTTAGTACCTCCATCACCAACACCTCCAACTCCAGTACCTCCAGTATCTCCAGCTCCACCAGCACCAGTACCTACAGCACCAGTGCCTCCAGTATCTCCAGCACCAGGACCTCCAAGCCCATCACCTCCAGCACCTCCAGTACCTCCAGCTCTGGTGCCTCTAGCACGAGTACCTCCAGGTACAACGACTCCAGCACCAATACCGCCTGCACTAGGACCTCCAGCTCCAGCGCCTCCAGCACTAGCACCGCCAGCTCCAAGACCTACAGCTCCAGCGCCTCCAGCACCTCCAGCGCCATTACCTCCAGTCTCAGCGCCTCCAACACTTCCAGCTCCGCGACTAGTGCGAACGCCGAATAACCCACTCACAAAGCTGTTGTGGCGAGAGAGACTCCTGCCAATGAGACTACTACTGCTGTCGACCCCCGGAACCTCCAGCAGGAGCACCAGCGACTCCACCACCACTAGGACACTCAGAACCACTAGCACCCCCCGAACCAGCACCTCCAGTGTCACCACCCCTAGAGTCCGCACCCCCAGCGTCACGACCTCCAGCAGCACCAGAGTCTACAGCAGCAGGCTGCAGAGGCGGCGAAGACGGCCGAGGTGGAAAACCAGGAGGGTTCTCCAAGCCCGGTGAGTGGCAAGTGGTCGATATGTCGTCAGCAACAGTGTCACCCCCCTCAGCTGGGCCAAAAGTGTTAGAGATTATCTCTAAAGGCTCAACCAAAGGAAGTGGGTCTACTTGTGACACACCCGAGGGAGCAGGACCCTATGGGGGGAGGGGGTCTACGGGGGGAGGACCTCGGACCAGCATGAGAGGCGGGGGGAGGGGATGGGGGTATGGCGGTGGGGGTAGA